CTTGAAACAGTAATAAAACCAACTACAAATCTCTCTCTTTTTATTATCAACAGGAACTGACAATTCTAAATGCAGTGATAAAAATACTTTTCTCCGAAAAATTCTTTTGCTGGTCAAATGCTAACAACGGCCGTGGTTACTGTTGAGTTTTAACACATGCATTTAATACACATACAATATATCCTCAGATAATCTGTTTTTATTACTCATCCTTTAATGAACATTGTATTCTTCATGGATGGTAATCCATAGCTTTGGCCGCCATATGGGGGACCTCAGTTACATATTTATTTCCAGAGTGTTCCAACATTCAGAATCACTCAAACCCACTTCAGGTGCACTTTATGGCTCTCACTCCCACGATACTACATACTCCTGTGTTTAAACAGAAACTTCTAAATAAACAACGGTATCACAGTGAAGGTAAAGATAGACTTTGGAAAACAAAGAAACTGAACCTGAGTTACTTCCATTCTGTCTTTCTATATGGCCACATGGAATTTTTATTCCTGTATAAATTTTTAAAGCAGTGAAGCAGAATGCAAACTGCAAGGGTACTATCTTTTGTTTGCAAAGTACAAATTTTAGCTCAGGAACTACTTTACCGAATTGGGATCATGTCTTTAACACTGAAGTGAATTCTTCTGAAATTTCTGTCTATTTTAAAACAAAAAAGTGAATCTAGAAAACAGAAATGGTAATGTTATCCTTTGTTATTGCCACAGACCAATAAGTAGGCCTAAATTTCCCCCTTTTTTTCAAAATACGCTATTATAATTTAAAAGCATTAATCCATTACATCTTAAAGTTTCTGTACTGTAATATTTGACTTATTTTACTTTTATACTGGTATAATGATATGAAGATCAACACAAGGTAATTTTTACTGAGTTTCTTTTCTAGCTATTGTTATTGCTGCTATTATAGGTTTTATTTCATAATTGGTACTAAAAATAATTTTACTGAATAAAAGATGGAGACTGTTAAAAAGACTTATCTACCTCAAATGTCAAGATACACCATTCTGTTCAGTTCAGTCCCTCAGTCATGTCCAACTCTGTGACCCCACAGCCGGCAGCACGCAGGCTTTCCTATCCATCACCAACTCCTGGAGCCTACTCAAACTCATGTCCATCGAGTCAGTAATGTCATCCAACCATCTCACCCGCTGTCGTCCCTTTCTCCTTCTGCCTTCAATCTTTTCCAGCATCAGGGTCTTTTCAAATGAGTCAGTTCTTTGTATCAGGTGGCCAAAGTATTGGAACTTCAGCTTCAGCATCAATTCTTCCAGTGAATATTCAGGACTGATTTCCTTTAGAGTTGACTGGCGTGATCTCCTTGCTGTCCAAGGGACTCTCAAGAGTCTTCAACACCACAGTTCAAAAGCATCAATTCTTCAGCGCTCAGCTTTCTTTATGGTCCAACTCTCACATCCATACATGACTACTGGAAAAACCATAGCTTTGACTAGATGAACTTTGTTGGCAATGTTTCTGCTTTTTAATATGCTATCTAGGTTGGTCATGGGTTTCCCTTGTGACTCAGCTGGTAAAGAATCCACCTGTGATCTGGGAGACCCGGGTTCGATCCCTGGGTTGGAAAGATTCCCTGGAGAAGGGAAAGCCTACCCCCTCCAGTATTCTGGCCTGGAGAATTCCATGGACTGTATGGTCCTTGGGGTCGCAAAGAGTCAGACACAACTGAACGACTTTCACTTTCACTTTTCTAGGTTGGTCATAGTTTTTCTTCCAAGGAGTAAGTATCTTTTAATTTTATGGCTGCAATCACCATCTGCAGTGATTTGAAACCCATAAAAATAAAGTCTGTCACTGTTTCCCCATCTATCTGCCATGAAGTGATGGGACCGGATGCCATTATCTTCGTTTTTTGAATGTGAAGTTTTAAGCCAGCTTTTTCACTCTCCTCTTTCAGGCTAGATGAAGCACAAGCTGGAATCAAGATTGCTGGGAGAAATATCAATAACTTAAGATATGCAGATGACACCACACTTATGGCAGAAAGCAAAGAAGAGCTAAAGAATCTCTTGATGAAGCTGAAAAAGGAGAGTGAAAAAATTGGCTTAAAACTCAACATTCAGAAAACTAAGATCATGGCATTTGGTCCCATCACTTCATGGCAAATAGATGGGTAAACCATGGAAACAGGGAGTGACTTTATTTTGGGGGGACTCTAAAATCCCTGCAGATGGTGACTGCAGCCATGAAATTAAAAGATGCTTGCTGCTTGGAAGAAAAGCTATGACCAACCTAGACAGCATATGAAAAAGCAGAGACATTACTGTGCCAACAAAGGTCCATCTAGTCAAAGCTATGGTTTTTCCAGTAGTCATGTATGGATGTAAGAGTTAGACTATAAAGAAAGCTGAGCACTGAAGAATTGATACTTTTGAACTGTGGTGTTAGAGAAGACTCTTGAGAGTCCCTTGGACTGCAAAGAGATCCAACAAGTCCATCCTAAAGGAAAGAGTCCTGAATATTCATTGGAAGGACGGATGTTGAAGCTGAAATTCCAATACTTTGTCCACCTGATGCAAAGAACTGACTCATTGGAAAAGACTGTGATGCTGGGAAAGATTGAAGGCAGGAAAAGGGGATGACAGAGGATGAGATGGTTGGATGGCCTCACCGACTTGATGGGCATGAGTTTGAGTAGGCTCTGGGAGTTGGCGATGGACAGGAAGGCCTGGGTGTGCTGCCATCAATGGGGTCACAAAGTGTTGGACACGACTGTGCAAGTGAACTCTCGAACACTCAAAATTCCATTTTCATCCAAAGACCCTGATGCACTAATTTCAAAAATCAGAAACTTGGGAATGCTCCTTGACCTCTTCCCCCTTTCCACCCTCTATGGCATGTGTACTCAGTCATGTCTGACTTTTTGCAGCCCCATGGACTGCAGCCCACCAGGCTCCTCTGTCACTGGAGTTTTCCAGGCAAGAATGCTGGAGTGGGTTGCCATTTCTCCCTCCAGGGGATTTTCCTACCCTCTATGTTCAAATCCATTTCCATACCCTGCCAATTCTACCTCACACACATCATGTGAATTCATCTACTTCTTTCCACTATCACCAGCCCAGCCCAAGGCACTTAATCTCCAGCCTGGAACACAATAAACTTCTAACTAGTCTACATCCCTCTGCATTCCCCTACCCCCAAAAAGCTATTCATACCATAAAACCCAGAAAATTCTTTTTAAATGAAATTTTCATCACAATATTCCCACTCTTCAAAACTTTCAGTGAGTTTCCATTATCCCTAGAAGGAAGATGAAACTCTTGAACAGAGTCCATATAATCCAACAGTGCCCTGGCCTCCACCTTCCTCTTATCTTTTCTCTTACCATCCACCAGCTCTTTAAAATCCAGCCACACTTTTTTCCCTTCTATTACTATATGTACCTTGCTCCTTTTAATTCAATCATTATATTCACTGAGGAAAACTATATATTGGACACTAGGGTTGATATACAGTGGTGAGCCGAAGAGGTGAAAATTGCTGCCCTCATTAAACATATTCTAGTGAGGGAAGACAGATGGTAGACAAATCTCTATGTAACATTAAAGAATGGGGAGTTTCCCAGGTGGTCGAATGGCTAAAAATTCACCTTGCGATGCAGAGGACACAAGTTCCATCCCTGGTCAGGGAACTAAGATCCCACATACTGTGGAGTATCTAAGCTCTCACACTGTAACTAGAGAGCCTCTGCGCTGAAACAAACAAACAAAAAAGAGATCCCACATGCCACAAGTAAGACCTGAGGCAACCAAAATAAATTAGTTAGTTGCTTAACCAATTTTTAAAAACAGAATGGGGTGAATAAGTGCAACGAAGAAGCACAAAGCAGGAAAAGGGAATGGCAAATGTCCAGGGACACTGTGCTAGTCAGAAAACCAGGAAAGGCATGCTGTACAGATGAACTTATTTCCAAATTTTTATTTTTAATTGGAGGAAAATTGCTTCACAATTCTGTGTTGGTTTCTGCCATACATCAACATGAGTCAGCAGCCATAGGTATATATATATATATATATATATATATATATTCCCTCCCTCTTGAATTTCCCTCCCACCTCCCACCTCCCACCCCACCCCTCTAGGTTGTCACAGAGCACCAGGTTGAACTCCCCATGTTATATAGCAACTTCCCACTAGCTATCTATCTTACATATGGCAATGTGTATATTTCAATGCTACTCTCTCAATCCATCTCACCCTCTCCTGCCCCCACTGTGAAAGATGTGATATTTGAGCAAAGAGTGAGCCATCGGATTATCTGAAGAGAGGGTTTTCTAGGCCAAAGAAACAGCAAAGACCTAAAGCAGAAAAGTGATGAACACATACATCTAGAGAACAGCAAGAAATGCCAAGGCATTTGCAAGGGTCTGAAACACTTTTCCCAGACCCAGATTTTCCTGTTCAAACCTCCAAATGGCATTTAGATGTCCAATCAAAGGTCATTTTTTTTAATTATTAAATTGTTTATTCTCCTGCAAGGCTGTTGCTTCACTGTATAAAAATAGCACCAGCAAACACAGTATATTACAAAGTTAAGACAGTAATATTCTTCACTGGACACTATACAACTAACAAACTTTTCTCCACTGCCAGTTATTTCTAGTGGGAAGATCATTTTGACCCAAATCCAAGGATAGCTGTAAGCAAGTTACAATGTCATATAAGGTATAAGATAACCATGTTATCCCTGAATTACATAATTTTTGTAATTAGTTTTATCAGAGATAATTTCAGGAATTCTGAATAGTATAACTGGACCCTAGCCTAAAAATCACAGGATGCTGTGGAAAAGATACAGTGTTTATCTGAAGGCATTAGAAAGTTAAGGGGTATTTTCTTCAGGAAACATTGTTACAAGTAGTTTCTTTTGCTAAAAATTGCTTTTTAAATATCTATCCACCACTAATTTAAGACAACTATGCTAGATTAAGTTGTTTCAAAGTAGTTTATTTAGGGGTTCCATTTTCATTCCTCAATAGATTTTATGTATTTTTCATATGCTTCTTCACTCATTAGTTCATCTAGTTCTGAAGGGTTACTGAATGTCATCTTGATCAGCCAACCATCTTCATAACAAGACTTGTTGACAAGTCCTGGATTTTCGGCTAGAGCTTTATTAATTTCTGTTACTTCTCCTGATAGAGGGGAATAGAGTTCACTAGCAGCTTTCACACTTTCCAAAGCACCAAACTCCTCTTGTTTATTCAACTTTGTCCCAACTTCAGGCAGACTACAGTAAACAACATCTCCCAAAGCTTCCTGTGCAAAATTGCTGATTCCACTGTTCCAACACCGTTTTCTGTTGTTACCCATTCGTGTTTTTCTGTGAATTTCCTCACCGACAGCAGAGCAGGGCCGGTGCGCAGTGCCCGGACGGCACCCGCCCGCAGTCCCCAGGGCCGCGGCGAGCAGGGCGCGCTGGGTGCCGAGATGGCGCGCAGGCTGCCGACCGCGGCCCGCACGCTCCGCGCCGCTTGCAGAGCCATGTTCGCACGGGTGCAGAGGGTCTCCGCGCGGCTCCTAGAGCACCCCGGCCCAAAGGTCATTTCTTCAGGCAGCCTTTTTCTCACCTCCTCGTCCAGATCAAATCCACTGTCCCAAGCTCCCAGGTTTCTCTAGTCTCTTCTGTAGTTACCTTAAGCATCACTTAGCTTATATATGTGGGAAATTAAATAAGGTATGTCCACTTGGCTAAACCCTCTGGCTCACACTTTATATCATGCCACCCTGTGCATTGGCCTCTTTCCCCTGGCCAGGGTGGAAGAGAGTCTGTCACTTGTTGCCCTCTGATTGACCAGTTGCTATTTCATCACTGCTAGTTAAAATATTCTATTTTCAAACATGGTTCAATATAATTGATCAGACTACAGCTTGCTTCACTATAATCACATCTTCCTGGGATTACTGCCTCATTCCCTTGATTGGACTCACATATTTTGTCATCACTCAAGATGGGTCCCTACTGTCTCAAGATGCTGATTTAGTCCATCAAATGTTGAGTCTTCATAGTTTCACTCTCAGATATTGTATTGAATTTAGCAGTATCCTTATTTGCCCACCCATACTTCCTTCCAAACTAGATTCCCTCCATACTCCTGCTACCCAATGTCCATGTTTTATTTTACCTGACTGTTTTCTTGACCTGCCGTATTCAAGTGGGTCAGAGAGTGGAAACACAACCAAAAGCCAGAACCATCTTAGATTCAGAAGTATCCACTCCTTCCAAGCCTTGTAGAGCCCAATCCACTATCCTCCTATGCTTGGTGGCCTTGAGCATTCCCACCTCTGCATTTATTCTTTTTTTTTTTTTTTTTGAAGGATAATTGCTTTACAGAATTTTGCTATTTTCTGTCAAATCTCAACATGAATCAGCCATAGTCTACAAGCTAGCCAGAGACTGTGTGGCCCAGCTTTAAAAAGAGAAAAAAAAAAAAAATCTGGATCAATTTAATCCTTTCTTGAGACTTTGACCCAAGGAAATAAAGAAAATTTTCAGTTAGTGGCTAAGAAAGAATTTGAAAGGATGCCTTGAGTGGGAACAATGGAAAACCAAGGCCAAATGCAATGGAAAATTATAAGGAAAGAAAGGAACAAGACATTGGCTGAAGGTAGCTGGTAAATATTAAAGAAAAAAAGGGATGGGAGGGGAGGAATTTAGCTGCTAGAAGAATCCAGAGCCAGGTGAAATCCAAAAGCAGTCATCACATTCCACCCTTATGGTATGGAAAATAAAGGAGATATTAAGGTCAAGGTCCAGCTCAAACATAACTTGAATAGAAGGTAACTGACCCCAAAGAGATATTGATCTGAGACTTGACCTCTTTAGAGATCAGTTGCCTTCTATACAAGGCTCCCTGACGGGACAGTCTCTATGCTGACTGAAGGGTTATAATCAACTTTAGGAATGCATGGTGTGTGCATGCCAAGGCCATGGGCTGTTCCCTTACCCCTCACTTCCTTCCAAGCTGGGCGCCGAGAACTTCAGCATTCCTGAAGTGATCTGAAAATACTTGGAGTAGGATGTGCATGCTCAGATGCGCACTTCAGTCGTGTCTGACTCTCTGAGACCCTATGGACTGTAACCCACCAGGCTCCTCTGTCCATGTGTTTCTCCAGGCAAGAATACTGGAGTGGGTTGCCATGCCCTTCTCCAAAGGAGTAGGGCTCTGCAACACAATTACAGCCTGAGCAGACCTCACCCTTCACTATCCTCTGTGATCAGGGCAGGGGAGCTCGGCTCAAAAGACATGTGCAACTGACAAAGCAAAGTAATACAGAGACACAGCTATCTGGGGAGAGGAATAATTGTATTATTTCGTGGCTCTACTAGCAGCCCAGGGTGAAGGAGCAGCAAACACAATCTAAGCTGATCTCTGAAGGATTGACAAAGCAGAGGACCAGCCTGGAAATTTTTCAGCAAATATTTGCAGTTGGTGAAAACACCTAGCAACTGCTCTTACACAGATCCAGAGAAAGGGAAATGGAAGCAGACACAGGATAGGACTCCTCACATGTACCGAGCTGTTGGTCATCACTAGGCTGGGTGCTCTGTACATGTTTTGTCATTTATTAATAATTCCCACCAAGGATATTAATACCCTCATCTTACAGATGTGGCTCGTAAGTGACGTGTTGTCAGTAACTGGTCACATCTATTGAGGATTTAGAACACGCAGATTCCAGCCTATTGCATTGTATTATTTCATTAACCCACATAGCAATTCTGTCAGTTAAGTGCTATTATCTCCACATTATAGGCGAGGATATGGAGACACAAAGAGGCTGGCCCAAGGTCACATGGGGGAAGAAGGTGCTTCCAGGTGACCTGGTATAGTGCAGAGTCTCTGTGGCTCCTAAACAGCAGAATCTGGATTTAAACCCAGAGATCTAACTCTGAAACTCAGACCCTTTTGACAAAACTGTGCTGCTTCCTGACGTTTATCCCTGTTCACCTGTATCTTCCCAAAAGCTGACCCCAAGAGAGGTCATGTGATGACTGAGTATGTGAGCCTGTGACCATCAGAGCTCATGACTCCTGCTTCCTGCAGCTCTGAGTCCATCCCTGCAGGGGCTCCAGGAGGGTGTGGGAGGCTGTGGCAGACCCCAGGAGCTGGAGGGCTCACCTCCCTGTCTGCCAACACAGGAGTGCCCAGGTCTCTGCAACTGCCCTTGTTGTCTCCAGTGTCATCCACAAGTTGCACCTGGGGCCTGGGCTGACTCTCCTTGGCAAGAACAGAGTTTCTCTGAAGTTTTCTGAAACAACCTAGCATCACAAATTTGACTTGCAGCCCAGTAATTGGGGGTGGGGGGAAATCCCAGTTGTACTACTCACTTGGTGTTCTTGGAAGAACTGCTTCACCTCCGAGGTCAGCATCTTCATCTTAAAATGAAAATCACAGTCCCTATCTCCTAGATGACCAGACGCATTAACTGCCCACAGCTCTGCACCTGGAATGCAGAAGGGGCTCCACAATGTCAATGCCTGCCTCTTGCTCTCCCCCACTTAACTCTAAAGTGAGACTTTTTTTTTTTTTTTTTTTTTTTGCGTGCCTCATAAGGTCACTGTGAGCATGAAATGACATAATCCAGCCTGACCAATTTTAGGCACTCGGTAAATGTTAATTAAAACTGAATATTCTAAAATGATTGACTTGAGGCTGTCCCCAGGAAGCCTCAGCATTTGCACAGCGAGCCAAAGTGGCTGGAAGGAAAGTCCAGCCCATTTTGCCCGGGCCTGTGATCCTGGCTGCACTTTGCTGTCTTTCAACATCACCACAGAGGCTCTGAACAAGCCCTGGCTCTAAGGGAAGGACTCAGCATGCACAATGGAGCCAGAATGATCTTTCTGAAGGGCAAAATGAAGCATGCCCCTCCCGAAAGCTAAAAACTCTTCAATGGCTCCCTGTGGCCCTCAGGATCAAGTTCAAACCCTCGAACCTGTTTTCAAGCCCTGTGTGATCTGGCCTGTGTCCATTTCCAGCCTGATCTTCTGGCACTCTCTCCCTCCTTCTCTACAACTCCAAACACCCTGAGTTTCTTTCAGGTCCTTCAAGGGCTGGGCTCCTCCCTCTATCACACACTCCCAGAGCATCCCAAATGTCCCCTTTCATGACGTGCATCCCAGGTACCGGGTCTGTTTTATGTCTGTTGACACCGTAAGCACATCAAGTGCACAAGGGCAGAAGGGTGGAATCCACACTTGCTTTGCTCATAGTTATATTCCCAGTGCCTAGCACAGAGCCTGGCACCTGGTAAGGACCAAGCATGTTACTTTCATAAGCAGAAAAAAGTATGTCCTTATTCAGGTGAGTGAGAAATGTCACTTTTCTCTGTGTACCCCACCATCTTGCTCAGTCTGGTAAGTCGATGCAGCATTCTGATCTCTACTTCTGCAAACCGAGTAGTGTGATCCCATCAGAATCTCACAGTATGGGGAGGGGAGCTGGAAGCGGGGAGAATTAATACAGATTATGTGTCCATAGAGCTTCCCAGGTGACCCAATGGTAAAGAATCCACCTGCCAATGCAGGAGCCACAGGAGATACAGGTTCAATCCCTGGGTCAGGAAGATCCCCTGGAGAAGGGAATAGCAATCCACTCCAGTATTCTTGCCTGGGAAATTCCATGGACAGAGGAGCATGGCAGGCTTCAGTCCTTGGGGTCACAAAGAGTCAGACATGACTGAGCGACTGAGCACACACATGTCCGTAAGGCTTAGAGGTCAGCTGTCTCATGCACACCAGACACACACACACACACACACACACACACACAGATTCACTTACATATATCCAGATAACTCCAGGCCTGAAGGTGAGGATGTACACATCTCAGTGTAACATCTCTAATACAAGGCAGCATCTCTGTGCATGTACGTTTATGTGAGTAGCCCAACCACTTTTTTCAAGTCCCTCTGAAGTGCTTCCATATTTTCCCCAAAGTCTCTTTTCTCTTGGGCCACCACTTGATTTTCTTCTCCCTCATAGCCCCATGAATGTCCTTCTCCTCTTACTGTTCTGGGTAATTCAGCTCTGCTCCCAGGCTCACACACCTCTCTTAATCTCTGCTCAGCAAGACAGAAGTCCTGCAATTAACAGGACCTGCCCTCTTTAGAAGGCAGTTTAGCCAAAATCTGTTTTACTTAAGGATAATCCCAAAGGTCTCACCCAATCCCCAGCCCATGCCATTTATCAAAGCAGCTCTTCCAAACACATCTATCACTGGGCCCAAGAATCTTTCATTCCAGCTGCTTAGAGGATAACATGAAAGATAACACTTCCTCTGTAGAAATACAAACTCATACATAAAATCAAGGTGGGCTCCTCTCTCCTCCATCTAGCAGCACTGTAGGTGGATGCAGTTTATGTAGTGTCTGAGCATAGGAAGAGGAAGGAAATTCATGCTGGGCATGCACCTGTTTCTCCAGCCTGTTCCTTAAAGATTTGTGACACTGATTTCATCCTTACATCATTACCCCAAGGTTTAGA